GGTGAAGCGCGAAGAAAGCCCCTCCAGTGGCGCATAGCGGCAGTGGAGCCTTTCGCTGTCATTGCCCCCTGGTTCCGAAACAGCAGAGGGGGACCAGGCCTACGCCACCCATCCTCCGTGGCATGGCAGTCCAGCTCAGGAGGGGAGTGAAAGGGAAGGTTGCCGAGCAAGGAATGGCCTGGCTAGTGGGGCCCTGAAATAAGTGGGTGCGGAGCACGTGGGGCAGCTCCACCCCCTCCCCCACCTGCCTCCCCTTGTGGCAGCAGTGGCGTGATGTGCTGTGCGGCCTCCTGCCGCCAGTGGCCGCAGCAGAAGTGAGCTAGCAGCCACGTGGGCGCCTGCTGGATGGGGACGTTGGTGCCGCCACCGCGAGGCGAGGCAGGTGTCACAAAAAATATAAGACATCCCCCAAAATAAGATCTAATGCCTCTTTTGGAGGTAAAAATAATATAAGACCGGATCTTACTTTTGGGGAAACACGATAGTTGGAGAACTATTCAAATTCTTTTATTTAATTAAAACATACAGATGCATTTTTCTTCAAACAATCATACCGTTTGTAATGTACATAGATTTGAAAAATAATGGGATAAAAGAATATTCCTGAACTTTGTTTTATGATTTATCTGATAATTACTGTGAAATTGTGTGAACGCATCAATGCAGTGCATGTTATCTCAGCTTGCAAAGCTTGGATTCATTGAATGAGTTTATCAAAAATGTAAATATTGCAGAATATACAGCCTCATGCTACATAACTAAGCTCCATTTCATGCTGAATAAACTAAATTATTAATGTATCTTAAATAGAAAACTATATTTAAATAGATTTTTACTCCAAATGCATTTTATTAAAATAAATTTGACAAAAATAAAAAAAATCAAATTTAAATTAAAAAAATCAAATTTAAATAAAAAAATCAAATTTTTTTAATTATTTTTTTTAAATCATCGATTATTATCCACCCTGTTCGGAGAAGAGAACAATGTCAGGTGCAAATCTTAAGTGATTTAAATAGGTGCCATTAAATTTTATTCCATCTTTTGCCAGACTAGTTTGCAAAATACTTCTTCAAGACAGGTTGAGAAAAGGATAGGTGATATTGTATCACCTTGTCATACACCTCGTTTTATGTTGATTTCCACTTTAAGATCATTAAGGCAAATTGTCACCATTGCTTTTTCATATATTGATTGTAGTAAGTTTATGTAACAGCATTTATGCTTTGGTTGAGCAATGCATTGATTATTGCTTGCTGGAATAATGAGTCATGCGCTTTTTTGTAGTCAATGAAAGCCATGCACAGAGGCATGGTGTACTCATTGTGCCTTTCAATGATTTGCTGAATAACCTGGGTGTGATCCATTGTGCTATAACTACTTCTGAACCCTGCCTGCTCCTTTGGCTGTGCATCATTTAATGTTCTCAATATTCTTTTTGCTGTTATCTTGGTGAAAACCTTGTAGATGACTGAAAGGCTTATTGGGCGATAGTTCTTTAATTCTTTTGGGCCCTTTCTTGTGTATAAGAATCACTTCAGCATTTTTCCATGCATCGGGTATTTTTTTCTTCTCTGAGTATGTTATCTTGGGTAGACTGTGACAACCTGCTTTTAGCATTTCAACTGTAACACAGTCATTTCCTGAAGCTTTGCCATTTCTCATTGATTTTATGGCACTTGATACTTCCTCTACTAGGATGTCTGACATTTCCTTCTTCGTTGGTGTTGTTACTTCTGAGTGACTTGATCTTTGTATAGCTCTGAATAGAATTTTCCAATTATTTCTAACATTTCCTATCTTGTTCTACACACAGAGCCATTTTCATATTTTAATGTAAAAACCTTCTTTCTTCTATTTATAAGCTTGCATTTTGCTTTATTAATCCCTTTGTTTTCTTCAATTGCCTTTTTTACAAGCTTCATGTTAAACTGACATGTTTCTTCTTGGATATATTTTCTTATGGCCTTGCAAAGTTCAACGTACTCCAGTTTATTAGTAAAACTTACAGTATTTATTGTCTATCATTTTTTCATTAAATCAATAGTTTCGTTAGAGATCTTTGATTGTACAAAGTGTTTTTCTGATGGTGCTATAGATATAGCAGATTCAAGGATGTTTTTGACTATTTGTTCATTTTGGTCCATAATATTCATCTTTTCCAAATCTTGCAATAGAGCAAAGCAGTTTGATAAATTAATCTCAAAATTGCTGCTGTATTCTAGCAGTTTATCACTTAATTTTCATTTTTCGTGACATTTTTATCATTTTCATATGCTCCTTTTGACAGTCTATCCTCACTTTAGCTCGTACCATTCTATTGTCACTTCCAACATTAAAGCGATCGATGACAGTACAATTGCAAAATATGGTTTTATCACTTGACATGATGTAGTCAATTTCGCTTTTGTACCCAGATGGTCTCTTCCATGTCCATTTTCTGCTAGTCTTTTTCTTGTAAAATGAGTTCATGATATAAAGTTCCTGTCCTTCAGTAAATCTACTAGTCTGTTGGTTCTATTATCTCGTTCACCACTTCCATATGGGCCAGTCACTTCTTCTCCAGTTATTGCTTTTCCTATTCTTGCATTGAAGTCACCCATTAGTATTTTGTATCAGCATTTTTCTTTGCCTTGAAGCCAGGTCACATCATCGTAAAACTCTTCAACCTCATCATCACTATAACTTATTGTTGGTGCATGAGCTTGGATGATTTGAAGCTTGTATTGTTTGTTCAGTTGAATGATGTATTGGGCTACTCTGTGTGATATACTTTCAAATTTTACTACAGAGTCACCCCACCACATTATCCATTCTTGGTACCCCTAGTGTAGAGTAGATGCCCAGTCCTATCAAGTTTGACTAAATTTTCACCTTTTTGTCGTGTTTCACATAATCCAATGATATTGCAATGCACAATATACAAATGCACAATGCACAAAGTTCAATCAGCAATTCTAGTCAGGCATCCATTCTCATTGTTCAGATGTTGAACGTTCCTATAGTCAAAGTCCAAAGGCAGCCTGATTTAGCCCAGAAATTCTTAGCACTGTCTGCCTTCAGGCAGGTCTTCCCACTACCCTAGGGCCTCGGGGGAATGAGGGCTGTTTTTGAGGTTGTATTGACATGTTGAAGGAATAGACTATAATCTGCCATGCTGGTCCATCACCGATCACATCTGCGAGTTGGCAGATGTGATCGATGTTAGTCTGGGGTATCCATCATGGCCTGTTTGTATTGGGTGACCCTTCTGGACATACATGTCCAACAACATAGCCCACAATTTCATTTACCCACAGAAGCCCCTTTGCCTCATCAAGGCCCTAATCATAGAAGAGGTCTCCCCTTTTATCAACATATAAATACATATATAAATATAAACACTGGAGATCTTAATATTAAGTAGTTTCAGACTGAAATTGTTATCAGATAATTACTACCTCATTATGATATTCAGTGCTCTTTTTTAATGTTATACTCAATTTTGGATGAAAAAATTAACTTCCCTGGAAATATTTAAACATGGTTAGTTTTCTGTTTAAATCAGTGGGCTTTACTCCATTCTAACTATATTGAAATGTACTCTGATATTTATGTTTTTCTTACCTTATCTTTCAAGTTCCTCTTGATCTTAAAAATATCTCTGCATACTCATACAAATATTATTCATACTCTCAAACATGACTGTGATAATTATAGTTTGGGAAAATAGCACTAACCAATTGAACAGACTATATTTGTTTGTATTACTGTACTTTTAATGTTTGTTCAGTGACATTTCTTATAATTATTAGTATAAGAAAAGTTTTTAATATAATTTTGGCTTTAGCTTATTAACAGAAATAACATAATTATTCATAAACAAAGACTGGCATTAAACTAGGACTACAGTCTCAATTATCAGGCATGTCAACTTTAAAAAATTAAAAAAATTGTATTTAGGGAGACAGTGCAAGGCCCAAATCACTGTGGTTCCACAGGCTTGTACCAGTATGTATCAGCTAATAACTACTAAATCAATGGATTTTGGACTAGCTGAGAGTTCTGGGTGAGTTTCAACGGCAGACTCAGGCAGAGCAAATTGCAGCTAAATAATGATGAGACTGTGAGTCATGGTTGTGAGTTCCTCAAATAAATATCAAGATATTCACAAGACTTAATTAAATTGTACTAATAGCAAATAGATTATACAGACATATATAGACTTCAGGTTTCTAACAAATCTAGCTTGCTAAAACTTTCCATTTTCTAAGCAATCCTTGAAATACTTAAAATCATTAATACCTCAAAGTACGGTATGTGAAAATATGGCTGAAAAATTAATATAACATTAATGGAACCTTTTAAAAAGTTTTAGACTGAAAAACAAATGAAGCCAGATTTGATCACTATTGCTAAGCTATAACTGTGTGTTTCGCTCAACTTCATGAACTAATCTGTGATAGAATTGTGTTCCCTGCATTTAATTCTACATTTCAGGCTTCTACTAGCCTTTGAAACACCACTGTGTAAATAATGTACATTTATATTATGTGTGTGTGTGTGTGTTATGAAAAACATTTATGAAAAACAATCTAAAATGTTACTTGCACAGGACAGTTCCTTTTTGAGTTCTGTTTCTTTTGGAAGCAGATAATTCATAAATGGACGCTATTTAATATTGCTACCATAATCTTTCCCCAGCTAATTTCTACAGTAACAAAAGAAGGGAACAAAGTAATAAATATATGCATATTATAGTAGTTCCTTACAAAAGTTTTCTGCATCAGTAATAATATATACTAGAGGAAGAGATAAGAAACTATTGGCATAATTAATAATTAATCTAAATTTAACTTGAAGTCTCCATTTCCTCTGTTGAATTTTCTGAAAATTCAATGAATTTCTCATCTGCACAAACCCATTGTAATATTTAACTTTGTTGTTGCATTGTTTAACTTAGTATAATTCCCATACTTTTATCCGTTTCCTTGCTTTTCAGATTTGTCTGCTAAGGTTAAAGCAAATGGGCATGGGAATTCCTGAAGGGAAAGGCCCTTATTCTGTGGGATGTACAGACCTCATGACTGGTTATGGTATTCAGGTACTTATAACTGCCATTATTAATAAATCCCAATTTTACATTAACTAGAATGCCAAATAGCTTGCATGAAAACAAACCCAAACCCAAAATATAAAATAGTTTAGCCTATTATCCATCTAGCACTATTGTTTTCAGGGTAGACGTTTCATTAGTTACTGCAGTCAGGTAACTGGCAGAATGTCATCTCCAAACAAAGCAGGTGTCACCAAGGTACCTCTGCCAATCAGTTTCTCCATTCCTCTCCTGTCAGTTGTGCATTATGTATTGGAACCCCTCATGGTACAAGCCCACTATTGTCCCATTCAGAAGTCTAACTTGTGACACAAATGCTTAGCTTTATTTATTTATTAAATTTCTATGTCGCCATCTTGCTGAGGCGACTCTAGGTGGTTTACTGTTATTATTCTCTTTTCTTTTTATAATAGTAAAAACAACCTGGCTTTTATTTAAAAAGCTTTTATGTAAAACCTCCATAACAAATCCGTGTTTTGGATTCATTCACATCGAGCATTCATTTTGCTAGAAATAAGGAAGAAGATGTTCATTTGATTTTTTTCCACACATTACAAAATAAATAAAAAATTCTATCCAAGCCAATTTTAAGGCAATTTTAACTAAGCAAGTGTGGGGACACTATAATAATAGGATATAAAAAAGGATTTCAAGTGGTTTTGGAGATAAACAAAATTTCTATATATAGAGTAGATGTAGAATTCCAGACTGCAATGAAGTGCCAAATTTCACCATGTGACTATGCTGATGCTATAGATCAGCAGATGCAATAATGATGCCGTCCAAACTCTACTTTGGTTACGGCCAATATGAATACTTTAAAAAAACCTAGTTCAGTTCAAAACACTGTATTTTTAAGCAAGTTTTTGGCAATGTTTAAAATGAGTTGGATTAAGGGTAGAACACTTCTTATTAATGCTTTTTTAAATTAAACATTTAGAAACAGTTTTCAGTAATTAATTTTATTATTTTATAACAGGGGACTTTTTTGCGTCTGTATTATCCCTCCCAAAATGATATGAATTATGAAGATACAAAATGGATTCCCAATAAAGAATATTATTGTGGACTCTCTTGTTTTCTTAATCTGTATTGGATAATAGGGGAGTTCATTCTATCACATTATTTTGGTAAGTTTCAGAGAGGTTATGAATTATAGCAGCAACCCATATTCTTATGCAGATATATTTTCAGCTTCCAGCTCTCAAGTGTATGCATTTTCTAAATCTGATTCTTAGAAAAGTAATTATGTAGATGCCAGCAATATTCTGATTAGTGCTATTAGAGAAATAGATTCTTATACATTGAGATAATTGGACTTTACCTGCTTGTTACTTATTACAGATAGTCCTCGACTTAAAACAGTTCATTTAGTGATCGTTCGAAGTTAAACGGCACTGAAAAAAGTGACTTATGACCATTTTTCACACTTCTGACCGTTGCAGCATCCTCATGGCCACATGATCAAAATTCAGACACTTGTCTACTGACTCATATTTATGACAGTTGCATTGTCCCAAGAACCTGCTTCGAGGGGTTTTCTTTCAGATCTCACCTTATGTAAGGACCTACCTCAGCTAAGCCACCCAAAAAAGCAGAACTCTTGAAACAGGCATTGTCTCAAAAGGAACTTTTATTAGGGGTTAGTGACAGCACGGAATCAAGGCGAGATCTGACAGAAAAAACCACAAAGTAGTATATTAAAAGCAACATTAAATATTCCTCACCTCCCCCCTAGAGTCTCAGTGTTCGTTTGAATCCCAGCCAATCCACAGGTGGCATCGTGTTTTGGTAACCGGTCTTTTCGGCAGTGGGCTCCTCAAGGCCTCTCTCACTTTCGATTTCTTCTGGCTCCAAGCGCAAACCGTCTCTCAGATAAGGGAGAGACGTTCCATCCCCTGGGGGAAGGGCATCATAGCAGACAGTGCAAAGCAATCCCAAAAGCTCCTCCCTCCCAACAGAATGGCAGGCCACAAAGAAAGGCTACAGAAAGGTAGAAAATAGGCATAGGGTTAAAATACATTTCTTTGGGAACCTGACACATGTGATCACCTTTTACAACCTTCTATCAAGTAAAGTCAATGGGGAAGCCAGATTTACTTAGCAACCATGTTACTAACCTAACAACCACAGTGATTCATTTAACAACTGTAGCAAGAAAGGTTGTAAAATGGGGCAAAATTCACTTGACAACTGTCTCGTTTAGCAACAGACATTTTGGGCTCAATTGCAGTTATAAATCAAGGACTACCTCTATTTGTAAAAGAATGTTACAACAATATGAAGGGTATATAAAAATTCACTTTTATGCTAGGCCCATCCAAAGTTGATTTGGATAGAAAAACATACAGTAAAAGATAGAAAAAAATACCAAAAACTATTCTAAGGTATAGTAGTTTAAGGCAAAGCCTATTACTGTACTTTTTTATGACACATAACAACCTAGACAGATTGTTGAAGCTTATTTATGAACTCTTTGGGTCCATAGTGGCAATATTTTTTATTCAGGTCCAATTATGTCCCACAGAGGAAGTTGAGCTTAAATTGATTGATTGTGTTCAATTTCAACAACTCCAAATATTGCTAATGCTAAAATGGTCATTACATGACTATTTAGCACATGGCATAAGAACAATTTGTACTACCAGAATTCTGAAAAGAACTTTCTAAAATATATTTATAGGGGAGCAGTGCCATTTGGGATTAATTTTTTTAACATTTTGCATTAAGTGTTTCTTGAGTTATTCTCTAAAAGCTAGATTAAGGATGCAGTGCAGTTTTTAAAATGAGTTTAATTTCAGTCTAGTGAAGCCATAAAAAAAAAACAGAAAAGGTAACAAGATTTGTTTTCCTTTGTCTAGGCTCAGTTACCTCTCCTGCAAAGTGGAATGCTGAATTCAAGACTGGAGAAAAATATCCTCTAATTATTTTTTCCCATGGACTTGGAGGGTTTAGGTAATACTGCCTTTTTACATATCTGATATCTCTGAAAAAACAAGTCTGGTTCACCAATGTATGTTTGCATTCATTCAACACAATCCAATATGATATCCTCATTTTTTTCTGGCATGGCTTCACCTTATATATCAGTCAGAAATATGGCAAAATAGGCAGGATAAGACTTTCCTAATAAATAAAAAATAAAAATATCTCCTGAAATAAGTTCCACTTTTTCTTACATATTAACAATTTCATAGCTGCAATATTAATATTTGAGGTTGGAAGGTGATAATTAAGATGATGAAGATGGTTATAACCAAAACTAACATAGTTCCATACCAAGAGCAGTCTTTGGCCATGCTGACTACTGATTATTAGAGCTGTGAGTCAGACGTGCCTGGAGGAACCAAGATGAAACTGGAGCTTCTAGTTTTTGGCCATGTGGGAGTTGTCCCGTGTTTATTCATGCACCTGTAATTGGAGGCAATTCATAAGCTTTAGCTTTGTTATTCTGATTTTTAAAATGGAATTCTCTCATGCCTGCCTATCTGTACAATTCCCATCCTGCATTCTCTTCATAACAGCTTTATATTTTTTATTTTATTTATAAACTTTTATGTCACCCATCTCCCCTACAAGGTGACTCTGGGCAGCATTTTGTTTTTGCCATCCAACTCCTCCCCAATCTTTATCACATTTTATCATCCAACACACACTCCACTTTATTGTCTTTGTTCATTCTATCTGCCCTGCGTGTTTCTAGTTATTTGCTGACCCAGCTGCTTCTCTAGCTTCTCATAACTGCGCATTTTCTCTGTCATGAGCTGTGCTCTTTTCCCAGTAAGCAGTTGTCCAAAAGCTCCTCCTTTCTTTCTTTTTCCCAGTATCACCTTTGCCCAGAATGAGTAAAAACCAGACACAGCCTCTGGCATGAAAATAATTGGTGGGGGGAGGAGGGCTAAAATGTTGTGCACCAGTGCATTTTCCATGCCCCTAATTGTTTCTGATGTGAATAGAATCTGGGGAGGGGAAACAAACAGCCTTAAAGCTACCTTGGCCTCTTTGGGGTTTTGTGACTATGGGCATGACAAAGAAATATTTCCCACAATACAGAAAGGGAACTGAAGACTAGCAGAATGTTCTTCAACATAGGATGTGTATATTTCCCCGATCCATTCACTTTATTTTTTTCATCTTTATACATTTTACCTTACAAATGTGTGGATGAGGACACGTTTAATCTTTTTAAAAATCTAGGAATTGAGGCCATTTATGTATAATGCCTTATATCAATAGTAAAAAGGAGATGTAGCATGCAAATGATTTAAAAGACTGACTTAATTTGCAAAATTATATTTATTTCACTAGGACGCTGTATTCTGCAATTTGCATTGAAATGGCATCCCGGGGATTTGTTGTTGCTTCCGTGGAGCATAGGTATGCATAGGTTCTTTAATTGACTGGAGTAGAAATATGTACGTAGAATCTAATAAAGGACTTTGTACTTATTATAAACTGAGAATATCAAAGAATTTCACTCAATCAATCACTGAGATCCACTATGGAATCATAACTATAGTGATTCAAGCCTCAGGTTGCCTATGGGCTGATGCTGAGCCACTTAACTAATTTTTATTTATTTATTTGTTTGTTTGTTTATATTTTGCCTTTATTATTTTTATAAATAACTCAAGATAGCAAGCATATCTAATACTCCTTCTTCCCTTATTTTCCCCACAACAACCCTGTGAGATGGTTTGGACTGAGAGAGACTGAGTGGCCCAAAGTCACCTAACCGGGTGTAGAACTAGAACTCAAGGCCTCTTTCTTTCTAGCCTGGTGCCTAGACAGGCTAGGCTTTTACAATGCTTAGGGATGGACAAATTTTAATATTTATAATCACAGTTGATTTTCCTGTGGAGATACAGTAAATATCATCATTAGACAAAGAATTGAATGCTCTCCAAAGTTAGAATTATTGCATTTATTTACAGAAACAAATCATAATCCTAAAATAAAGAATTAATTATAAATTTTCCCCAAAATTCACTCTTAACACTATGAAAATATAGTCTTCCACACATTCAAAAATTCTGATCTCCTTTTATCAATCAATAAGTCAGCCTATTAATTTAAACGGTGAAGATGCTTGCCTCCCACTCAAAAGGTTGAGAGTTGAATCCTAGGTAGTGGCAGATGTTTCTCTCTAGAATGCAAAGAAAAAAGATCTGCTGTGAATTCAGAGTGGCATCAGGAAGGGCATCTGGCTAGTAAACACTTAGCTCCATCCAGTTGCCCCCACTCTACTCCAAATTAAGGAATTACAGGGTTGTACAAAGGGAGGTTTTTTTAGATGTAAACTCATTCTTTTGCCATCTATACATATTAATCTTAGTAACCATTACCTTTTACATAGTACAACATACTTTTCTTCAATGTTATATTCTGGTGCTAAATTAGGAATGAGTTCTAATATACATATTAGTACAACATTTATTTTAAATATTTATAAGGCATTGTATGAGCTTTGAGGGGGGGAAAGTGTTGCTGTCTCAAAGCACAAATACAGTGGGGGTTTTTTTTCCCATTAGAGACCAGTCCTCTTCAGCTACATATTACTATAAAGAAGACCCTACCATAGGAGCCAAAAGAAAACCCCCAGCATTGCACAAGGAGTGGATTTTCTATAGGAAATTAAAACCAGATGAAAATGAACTTTCATTGAGGAGGCAACAGGTATTCATTCAAATCTTCTAAATATATTGCATTACAGTAGCATCATTGATTCACTCTCAGGAGCCCCTATATTTTAAATCAATATGCCTAGTCATACACCCTGTAGTTGAAGTAGATATGATAGTGTCATCTGATTTACCACTTTTAGAATCCACCTGTGATCATTCTATCTGTTGCTTCCCACATTGTGCAAGCAACAACTATGGCCCTATCACCAACCCCCAACAATTTACTCAATGTCAAAAAATAAATCTCAGAAAGGCAGGTGGGTTGAAGAATCCCACCCTTGGAACATATTTCAAAGGCTGAATATCAATCTGGTATGAGATACATAAG